CAACGATATACTTTTCATAATTATTTGTAATACTTTTTCCGACATCATATTTTTGGGTGTTTGACTTTAACAGAGTCAAAATTGGTTTAATTGACCTTTCTCATAAAAGGTTCTCTCATTTAATTCATATCAATTATTCTCATGATTTATTTCAATAAATCATTACAAAGTTCACATCATAATTAATTAATTTATTTATTCTTGATTTGGGTCTGTACTCAGGTTCCCAATCAAGACCACACAAATAGTCCACATATTGGATTTATCTCGATTAGACTTATCCAGATTTTGATATTGGATATTAAAAAAAATATTTCATATCGGCCCAAAGCCCAATAATAATCAAAACAAATTTGTTTAATCGAATAATTATTTAATAATAATTCTAGGGTATGTTTCGGGGCGTTACAGTCAGTCTCAACATTAGAAGACTCATTCTGATAAACATCTTATAATATAATTCTAGGAATGCAATTAAGAGTGTACATTAGCATGCGATGTTTGTAAACTTAATGCATCTGCCTTTACATGATAGAAAATATCTAAGATATTACAACAGCACTTGGCCATAAGGGCACCAACTCCAACACCTGTCAAGTGAGACTAAGCCAGGGGTGTCCGTGATAGTTTAAGTCATGCATCAAGTCATATCATTATCATGTATGTTCCTCATCACATCCACATTCAATGTGGTAGCACATCATTTTGTTATATGTAATAGTACCCCAGCATGTGCAAACTTGTTAGAATAATAGACCAACGCTAGAGGGGGGGTGAATAGCGTTTGGTCAATAAATCACAGGAATAAAAATGAATAAACGAGAAGTAAAGAGAAGAGTAAGAGGCACACCGATTTTACCCTGGTTCACCACAACTTGTGGCTAATCCAGCCTCCCGAGACACTCTCTTGAGCTACACTACTTCCGTTAAGCTTACGGGTGCTTAACAAACCGTTACAACCTGAGAACTCGAGTCCCACGAGCCTCAACAACACTTGCTCGGAGATACCGCACTCCAAGACTTCAACCCGAAGGGAAGTACCTTTCCTTCGTACAACCAAGGGAAACAAACTTCCCTTAATGTCAATAAAAACTAAGAACACTCAACAACAAGGCTCTCTCAAAAGAGTGAATATGAGTAAAGTAATACGCTCAAGATCACAACACGAACTTCACAAAAATGGCTCTCGAAAAGCTATGAATAATGTATGAATAATATGCAATGAACGAATAGGAGTTGTGAAGTAATGTGATTCATGTAAAACAGACCCAAACATCCCATTTTATAGTGGAAAAATAGGCTCCAACGGATCAAAACATTTAAGGGGTGATTGGCACAATTTGTGGGATTTGATTAAATTTGGATCTGCTGAAATTCACCCAGACAGCGCTGTCCTAGGCTTGGACATCGCTGTTCTAGGCTTGCGTTTTGAGAATTGGGAAGCAACGGTCATGCCAACAGCGATGTCCAATACTCCTACATCGCTGTTTTGGCTGTTGACTTCCAAACAAGGAAAGTTTTAGCCTTAAATTCCTTCCAACGGTCAGGTCCCTACATCGATGTTCAATACTTGAACATCGCTGTTTAGGTCTGACTTTGAAGGTGGAGTTTTGCCCTGACAGTGCTGTTGCTGGGTCAACATCGCTGTCCAAAAACTTTCTGCCAATGCACTATATTTTTGGCTTAGGTTGGACAGCGCTGTAGGGAAGGCTACATTGCTGTTGCAGATGTTTCTGGAAACCCAACCTTGGCTCAACAGCGATGTCTAATATGCAACATCGTTGTTGGAAGACTTAACGCAAAACCATGGTTTTCAGCTACCCAAGCCAGACAGCGCTGTTGGTTGCACCAACATCGCTGTTGGGCTGGTTTAGCCAGACCCATGGTTGGTTTAGTCATGTCGTTAGCCGATGTCAAAAACGTAAGTTCTCCAAAATAAAAAACAAGTATTGAAAACATTTTTTTATTGCATTTTGATAAGAAATCAAGTAAAACAACTCAAAAACCACGTCATTTAGTTGAAAACCACGGCTAACCAAGTTTGTGTTGTTTCGCATGGTTTTCACTAAATGACCAAAAACGGAAGGTGGTTTTTGAAGCGTTTTTGTTGGAGAACTATTTAAATATTCCCAGAAGTAAAAACCAATCGTAAAAAGTTGAAAACCACTTGGTTGGTTTGGATGCCAAAAACCAATGCCGAAAACCGAAAGCCGAACGCCGGTTTCTGAAAGCCAAACGCCGGATGACTTGGTTTTTGGTTTAGGCGAACTCCAAGTGTTTTTTTTGGCAGGTTTAAAACTTAAGAAAAACATTTTTGAATATGCAAAAAACATTTTGATGAAAAGAGCCTAGAGAGCCAAGGTTTGATCGTTTGTGCCGGTCTTGATCACATTAAGACCGACTCAATACAATTCTAAGTCTTCGTTCTTGGTTCTTGGTTCTCAAATCATCATGCCATGTTCCTTCGCCTTGGTTTTGCTCACGTTAACCTTGTTATGTCACGGCGGTTTGGCATTATCAAAACGTGTCATAAAACGAACACGTAGACGTAAACCCGTGTTCCAACAATTTCCCCCTTTTTGATAATGGCAAACAAGACGGGGATATGCATACTAGGGGATATTTGATTTTCAAAAAGTTGTGAAAAAGTTCCCCCTTAATTTGTGCTTATAAAACAAGTAGTAGGGTTTAAAATCAAACAGTCTCGTTAGAGGCCTTCCCCCTTAGTATATGCATAGCCCTTTTCTTCTCCCTTTTGACATTAACAAAAAGATAAAAGATAATTTTATTTTTAAAATTGGGAAATAGCGGAGTACAACGGAAGCAATAAAAGACATGATAATTAAAGGAAAAGAGATAGAAGTTCTAGGACAGCGCTGTTGTGCCCTTGTATAGCGCTGTTTTGCGTCAAGTTTAAAAAAAACAGGAGTCAATTGGACAGCGATGTTGGGTACCCTACAGCGATGTTCCAAAAGTTTCTGGAATTGTGTAAGGGTTTGAACCCATTAGAACAGCGCTGTTGGGTTTCTCTACATCGCTGTTTTACGATTGGAGAAAAAATTTGTAAAAATGGACATCGATGTTGAAAAAGTTTCTGGAAAGCAAAGGTAAAGGGAACTCCCTGGGACAGCGTTGTTGGTGTATTGTACAGCGTTGTTGGCTCAAGCTGGTTGACGGTGTTTCCTTCAACAACGCTATTGGGTCTCCTGGACAGCGCTGTAGGCATGGTTCCCCCTGATTTCATGAACGGGGTTCCTACAAAGTAACACTTTGGTACCCAAAATATTTTTATGGGTCCTTGGAGGTTAATTGGTTTTTATTATCCACACACACACCGAAAGTTTATTTCCACACACACCTTCACACACTCGGTTTGATGATAATTTAGGGGTTACCTTGGCCAACCCGTCGTCCTGTGGTTGGCGGGTTCCAGTCTACCTGAACGGAATGCCGATATCTCGGTGTGATTTGTGTTGGTTCCGGTAACGGAATGTAGACTTTCTTCTTTTCATCAAAGTAGAAGAAATAGTAAGGTTTCTTTTGTGCATTAGCCTGTGGAGATTGTTTATGATACGAATATCCTTTTCTAAAGGATTTCTTTTCGTTAGCACCAAATATGTTGTGTGTTTCATTATAGGTGAGATGCCTATGTCTAGTGAAACACACGGGAGCTATATGTCCTACCCTATTGCAATAATGGCATACTACGTTTGGGTTGAACATATGCCTAGGTTGATAATAGCTAGGGGGTCTAATCATATTCATCCTATTTTGAGAAAAGGATGTTTTATGCATGTTTTCAAAAGAATCATTTCTAGGTGTCCTTATGTTATTTCTCCTCTTTTGAGAAAAATTATTATTATGCACAAAATCATATTTCCTAGGTTGTCTACCATGAACATTTTCATTCCTAGGTTTTAGTCTAGGTTGTCTAGTGTCCTTAGGTTGACTAGGTTTTCTATTATCCTGATTTTTAGGTTTCTTACGTTGAGCCTTAGATGGTTGTCTAGATGGTGGCTCAACGTTTTCTTTAACCTTAACTTCATTTTTATTGAAACCTATTCCTTCCTTAGAAAAATGCATAGTGTCAAGGAGCAAATTTAAATCTTTGTGCGGAGTATTAAATTTCTTGACCGTACTCTCAAGTTTTGTGACTTGTTCCCTTAAAGCTTTACAAGATTCACATTCCTTTGAGGAACTTTCTGGTTTGTCGGGGCTTCTTTTGCCATAAAATTTATTTTCTTGTTTTAACTTCTCATTATCTTTTTCCAGATTTTCAAAATCATTTTCAAGAGTGGAGAGGCGTTTCTTTAACGATTGGTTGATTTTAGAAGCGCTAACAAATTCATCATAAAGTTCATGAAGTGCTTCTTGCATTTCTTCAAAGGTGTAAGAGTCGGAAGAAATGGTACATACCTCTTGTACATCGTCGGTTTGGTCTCCGTGCGCCATGAGACAGAGGTTGGCAGTTTCATCCTCATCTTGGTCGGTTGACTCGTCGCCGGAGTCGCCACCCCAAGAGATATATGCCCTTTGCCTTTTGAATTCACGAGCATTCCTTCCGCTTCTCGGGCAGTTGTTCTTGATGTGTCCGGCTTCACCACATCCATAGCACACAGGGCCATCCTCAACCTTTTCTTTCTTCCTTAGAAGTTTGCAAAACTTCTTCATGACAAGCTTGACTTCATCATCGTCGCTTGAATCATTCATCGTTGATTCTTTGACGGCTTTTAATGCTATCCCTTTCTTTTGGTCATTCCACGACGGGTTAAGAATAGTAGATTCATAAGTTTTTAGATTACCTCTTAGACCGTCGATGGTGACATTTGATGTGCCGATTGACTCATAGATGGCATCAGCCTTGGATCGCCATTCAGATGTCAGGCTCCGTAGGACCTTTCGCACAAGATCCCTGTCGGTGTAAGTCTTCTTCAATGCATGAAGATCGTTGACTATCTTGGAGAATCGGTCGAACATGTCGTCGATATTTTCGTGCTCCTTCATTCTAAACATCTCATACTCTTGGGTGAGGAAGTCGATCTTGGCTTCACGTACTTGGTCCGTTCCTTCGTACGTCACCTCAAGTTTATCCCACATCTCCTTGGCGGTTGTGCAGCAGGAGATCTTTCGGTAGTCATCGGGGTTGACCGGACAATATAGCATATTGATGGCCTTTGCATAATTCTCAATCTTCTTGATGTCCTCGGCATCAAATTCGTCCTCGGTCTTTGGGACCGTGGTTTCTCCCACTTTCTTCACAGGGATTTCCTCGCCATTTTTGATCACCAACCACAATTGGAAGTTGGTGGAACGGATATAGATTCTCATCCGTTCCTTCCAATATGAGTAGTTGGTGCCATCAAAGAGTGGTGGCCTAGAAGTTGATTGACCTTCTCCAATTCCTGCATAAAGATTTCTAGAAGAAGAACCCATGATCGCTTTACTCTCAAACGGTTAAGTTTGGACGCGAGTTAGGCTCCGATACCAATTGTTAGAATAATAGACCAACGCTAGAGGGGGGTGAATAGCGTTTGATCAAGAAATAGCAGGAATAAAAAATGAATAAATGAGAAGTAAAGAGAAGAGTAAGAGGCACACCGATTTTACCCTCGTTCACCACAACTTGTGGCTAATCCAGCCTCCCGAGAGACTCTCTCAAGCTACACTACTTCCGTTAAGCTTACGAGTGCTTAACAAACCGTTACAACCTGAAAACTCGAGTCCCACGAGCCTCAACAACACTTGCTCGGAGATACCGCACTCCAAGACTTCAACCCGAAGGAAAGTACCTTTCCTTCGTACAACCAAGGGAAACAAACTTCCCTTAATGTCTATAAAAACTAAGAACACTCAACAACAAGGCTCTCTCAAAAGAGTGAATATGAGTAAAGTAATACGCTCAAGATCACAACACGAACTTCACAAAAATGGCTCTCGAAAAGCTATGAATAATGTATGAATAATATGCAATGAACGAATAGGAGTTGTGAAGTAATGTGATTCATGTAAAACAGACCCAAACACCCCATTTTATAGTGGAAAAATAGGCTCCAACGGATCAAAACATTTAAGGGGTGATTGGCACAATTTGTGGGATTTGATTAAATTTGGATCTACTGAAATTCACCCAGACAGCGCTGTCCTAGGCTTGGACATCGCTGTTCTAGGCTTGTGTTTTGAAAATTGGGAAGCAATGGTCATGCCAACAGCGATGTCCAATACTCCTACATCGCTGTTTTGGCTGTTGACTTCCAAACAAGGAAAGTTTTAGCCTTAAATTCCTTCCAACGGTCAGGTCCCTACATCGATGTTCAATACTCGAAACATCGCTGTTTAGGTCTGACTTTGAAGGTGGAGTTTTGGCCTGACAGCGCTGTTGCTGGGTCAACATCGCTGTCCAAACACTTTCTGCCAATGCACTATATTTTTGGCTTAGGTTGGACAGCGCTGTAGGGAAGGCTACATCGCTGTTCCAGATGATTCTGGAAACCCAACCTTGGCTCAACAGCGATGTCTAATATGCAACATCGTTGTTGGAAGAGTTAACGCAAAACCATGGTTTTCAGCTACCCAAGCCAGACAGCGCTGTTGGTTGCACCAACATCGCTGTTGGGCTGGTTTAGCCAGACCCATGGTTAGTTTAGTCATGCCGTTAGCCGATGTCAAAAACGTAAGTTCTCCAAAATAAAAACCAAGTATTGAAAACATTTGTTTATTTCATTTTTCTATGAAATCAAGTAAAACAACTCAAAAACCACGTCATTTAGTTGAAAACCACGGCTAACCAAGTTTGTGTTGTTTCGCATGGTTTTCACTAAACGACCAAAAACGGAAGGTGGTTTTTGAAGAGTTTTTGTTGGAGAACTGTTTAAATATGCCCAGAAGTAAAAACCAATCGTAAAAAGTTGAAAACCACTTGGTTGGTTCGGATGCCAAAAACCAATGCCGAAAACTGAAAGCCGAACGCCGGTTTCTGAAAGCCAAACGCTGGATGACTTGGTTTTTGGTTTAGGCGAACTCCAAGTGTTTTTTTCGGCAGGTTTAAAACTTAATAAAAACATTTTTGAATATGCAAAAAACATTTTGATGAAAAGAGCCTAGAGAGCCAAGGTTTGAAAGTTTGTGCCGGTCTTGATCACATTAAGACCGACTCAATACAATTCTAAGTCTTCGTTCTTGGTTCTTGGTTCTCAAATCATAATGCCATGTTCCTTCGCCTTGGTTTTGCTCACGTTAACCTTGTTATGTCACGAGGGTTTGGCATTATCAAAACCTGTCACAAAACGAACACGTAGACGTAAACCCGTTTTCGAACAAAACTAAGCAGTTAGTAAACATGTTATTTTCCGTACGTTAAGTACATGTATTAATATGTGTATAACCAAATGGGTTATCACTTTATGTTCTTTGGTTAGATTCACTCCTCAGCTTTTGCTGAGCGTGTAGTTGTTTTTGCTAGACGCACGTAGACATGACGGTACAGGTGCTAACCCTGAAGGACAGTGATCATGGGAAGATGGGCGGTGCACAGACGAGTTTTAATATTTATTTATTTATTTAATCACTTGGGCATGAACCCACCGTATGTCGTTTTACTTACTTTGGACTGGACTTATTTATTTACTTCCGCTTTACTTTGCGTTTATAACACACACGTTTTGGGGATAACTCCCTAGCATTTATTTCACCAATTAAACAAAACCGTTTTCACAATAAATAGACATTAATGTTTTTCGTTACGGACGGTTCTCGGACTGCCCATGTAACCCTACCGGTCCGTTGGGTCGCGGGTGAACCGGGTCCACGGAAGGCGGGTGTTACAAACAAAGGAATCTCTTTTTAAATTTTTGTGTCTTATGAGTCTGGCCCATAGAGTGCCTTCCTTTTGGCATCTCCACCATGTAATACCCCAACCCGCATAACCCAAACCCGTGAGACAGCGGACCGGTGTGCCGCTGGATTGGTATCGGAATCTACAACATTTTCAAAACAATTTTAAACAAACGTTCTATCAATACATATAAAAATCCATCGGAGTAATTTAAAATAATGCGGAAGCCTTTTTAAAGTCAAACAACTTGGGATCTTGCCCGAAAACGTAATAAGCATTAAAGTTAATTAAATAAAGCATAATCAACATATTAATGAGACAGCCACGCCATCGTACATCTCCTCCTCAATGCCCTCTGGGATCGGCTCTAGGTTCATCTGTCTGATCACCTACGGACAGCAAAAAGGAAAACAACGCTATCCGCTCAGCATTGACGCTGAGTAACACTCCATTGTAGCACAAGAATAAACATAATAATTCAACAATTAAGATCGTGCATATGTTTATCCTTTTGATAAAAATCAATTCAACTTTAAATTCGGTTCTTTAGACGGTTGACCAACAGTCAACTTATTTTCTTTCTTTTCAAAACGATTTAGGTGTTACGGGTTTCACATTAACTCTTTGACCACCGGTCAAACCAATTTAGACTTTCACCAAAGTCAAACCACTTAACATTTAATGCCTATGACGGAGATAGCCTCAATCCGTAATACCGAAGATAGCCTCAATTCGGTGGAGGTAGGATCACTCGGGCGATAGCCTCAAACCCAAGATCACAGACCCTCGTGCGCACGTCTTAACCTCACTGACCAGGCCCTGCAGCCGCCCGAGCAATGGCCAGTTTCTATGTTCGACATAATAAACCAATTGACCTTAATCACCAATTAGAATTAATTAATTAACTTAACTAATTCATTAAAGTCTTGGTTTTAACCATTCGGTCAAACCTACGTCGACAGAATATCAAGTCAAAGCCTAAGTCAAACGTGACCTAACCCGAGTCAAAGTCAAACTTGTTCAGTCAATTCACAATCCTCAACAATTTAATTCAAATAATCAATTTAATTCAATTAACCAATTTAGCCAAATTATAGCATAAACACATATAACGATCCAAACCATTAAATCTATTCTAAATGCTATTAACTTCATAGTACGGACCTGGATTACGCCGAAATCGAATCGATAGTTCGAAGGGAAGATAAATCAACGAAATCAAACGAACGGGTCAAATTGAGTCAAAATACGAAATCGACCAATCAATCCGGCGTGGAGGTTAATCTACCGGCGATATCAATCCGGGGCAGCGGCTGGATGCGGCGACGGTGACGGACGCCGGCGACAGTGGCGTAGCGGCAGCTCGACGGCGATGAGCAGCGACTGGCGGCACTGCAATTCGACGGCGAGGAAAGACGCCGGCAGTGGAGGCGACGTCCAACGCTCGGCGTGGCGGCGCTGCACTCGACGGTGGCGGACGACCGACGAAGGTGAAACAGCGGCGCTGCACTCGACGGCAATGATGGCGGACTTCCGGTGAAGGCGAAACAGCGGCGTTTGGCGACGTCCAGCGTTCGGCGTGGCGGTGCTGCAACTCGACGGAGAGAACGACGCCGGTAATGGAGGCGACGACCGCAGCTCGAGGATTGGGAACCGTGGTCGGCGGCGCTGATGCTGGCGGTGAGAGGCTGACGGAGTTGGCTGGTGCGGCGAGGAGGCGGAGGTCGGACGGCAGGGATGACCGAATGAAGAAGAAGAAGAAGAAGAAGAACAAAGAAAGAAGAAGGAAGAAGATAACGATCGTGTGGCTGAAATAGTTTAGGTTTTAATTAATGATCCCATTCCTAAAAGGATTGGGCTTCGGACCCAAAATACCTGATTAAATGGTCATAACATGAGCTCCATAACTCCGATTCGCGAGCCGTCTAAACCGACGCGATCACAAAAATATTTCCTACGAGATGACATAAAAGTTGGGCTTAGAATCCAAATTATAATTTTAACCCCTTTTTATGTTTTAATGATTCCAAAATGATCTATGAACCTTGGAGAACATTTCTATATAATTTAATTGAAGTTTGGTGATTAAAAATGATAATACTCGAAACTGACCAGAGGAAGAAGATGATGAACAGTAGCCGAAAATCGATTATTTACTCCTATGAATCGATTAGAACTTTGTTAAGATGAGATGCTAGAAGTCAGAAAAACATAATCGATTATTTTATTAAAATAAATCGATTTTTATTATATAATCGATTATTTAGAATTTATAAATCGATTTTAGTTAAATAATCGATTATTTATAAATTATAAATCGATTTTAATTATTAATCGATTATTATTCATTAAATAATCGATTTTTCCACAATATATATATATATATATAAATAGATTATTTTATATTAAATCAACTTCAATTCGAGTTACTGCTTCAAAAAAAAATATTTCTCAAATTATGCTCTAAAATCCTACTTTTGATATCAACTAATTATAGACAATATAAATATGATTTTGTACAATAAAATTATGTTTTGACATATAAAAACATAATGTGATGCATGACGGTAAGTTCGGGTGTTAACACTCGATACTAGACCACTATTTGTTATTAGATTTTATGATTGTTTGACTATTGATTATGATAATTAATTATATTGAATACTCTGAATGACGATCATGAATTGTTAAGTTGAGAATAATGAATTAATAAATCATACTATTAAGGCTACTTAGAAGATCTCTAATATAGACCTCTGATTAGAATGGGCCTTGCGAGTATAAAACGTATATTCGGTGGCCTTGGGTAAAAACGTACGTACGGGGTCCATAACCAAACTAGAAGAACTCGTTTGGGGATACCACCCAACCCGACAGTCAGTATCCTACTGTTCGGTTTTCTAGATTTGTACCTTAAGCAAAGGCTAGTTTAAGAGTTGGTAAATCAATCGGAATATATGTACCTTAAACTAATGACCTAGCTTAAGAGTTGGATAGAGGTACCTTAAACTAGAACTAGTTTAAGAGTTGGTAAACATCAAATAAATTGGCCTTAGACTAAGAATAGTTTAAGGATATTATTGAATGAGGATGTTGAATGTTGAATATGAATATTGAATGACGAATGTTGAATNGGCGATCGTGGTGGATTTATGATTTAAAATGATTAAATTAAATTGTTATGAGACATGATTTAAATTGCTTCCGCATTATGGTTAAAAACTCCGTAATTTATTACTGTTATGAATGGAATATTATTTTATGATAAATAAAGATGTTAAAATGTTTTAAATTTTTACGATTACCAAGTTAATACTTTAGTCCGAAAGGGGCTGCAGACCTGGACGGATTAGGGTGTTACAGAAGATCTCAACGATGAAGATTTAGTCTATCAACAACGAAGTCACGTGTATGTATGAACGAGAAGACAGTGTTGTATCTCGTCACTTGAAGCACCCGAATGACCTTGAACGGATCGCAAGAAGAATTGCTGAATGAAAATATTATTATGAAGATTGTTACGAATAAACTTGCAAAATTTTCTATTAGCTGAATTCCTAACACGAAAATTCGTAAGTCCTAAGTACCTCGACAATATCGAAAATCGTGAACGTAACCGCATGTTGAAGAATCTTCTTTGTGCTCAGAAAGAGAGGCGTTGATAATAGACAAATGAATTACTTGTTACTAGGAATATGTCGGGTTATAGACTCGAAAAAGATGAACCAATACGCTGTTGACGTAAAAAAAAATGTCAAACATGAATAATAATCAAATAGTAACCTGCTATTAGTAGGCATCAGAAGTTGACTCCTCGCGAGAAAAACATAGGTATGAAGTGATAACGTTATGAACTGACCATGACGATATGCTACAAGAAGCGTGACGTGATAACGCGATAGGGAAAATACAACTCGAGACAGACTTACGAAACGACTTCTAAGCTTAAAGACTTTAACAGTGAAACAACTTTTCGAAACCCGATTGATGACCACCCAGAAAGCGTGAACGTGATCAAAACAGTGTTAATCAACGAGAAATCTTGAGAAGATCTTATGTTGACATCATAAGCTAACAAAACAGACGAACTTTGAATATGAACTGAACGACTGATCAAATAACTGACGCTACGATATCTAAAAGCTTAACCATTGTTGGTACGCTGTACGGAGGTACTCCATATATGTCCATTGGAATCAAACTTAAGAAAGATTGAATTATGAACTTGACGAACTTGTCATTTGCTTTGAACAACACACAAATACAAAGCTCTTACAATAATACCTTAAACGATAAACAAGGAGAATTTCTGTGGAAATGGCGTGGCCATTCACCTAACCATAATCGTAAAGCAAGTGTCAGGGACGAAATTTCTTTAAGGGGAGAAGAAATGTAACGCCCAGAAACCGGTATAGAAGTTATTTGATAATTAAATAAATAAGAATTATTTATTTACGACAATCTAGTCTTTTAAAGAATTAAAATATATTTAGAAATTCTAATTGTCTCAATATAACGAGACTAATCTGACTTTATTTGTAAAGGTTTAAATTAAAGGACTGATCGGTATTAATTAATCGAGAGAATTAAGACGGACAAGTTGGAACCAATAAATACTCGTTGAATGATAATAAAACTTATATCGTTGGGTAGGGATTGACGAATCGAATCCAACGACAAACACGGATCCCAATTCGGAGCAAGTTGGCCCGAAAAGTGTGTTTTTACTCAAACATGTTGTTTTAAATTAAGAAACATAAAAAAACGGCAAATTATATGGTACATCCAGCTCTACCTTCCTTTAAGTACATCCTGCTATTTTTGTAAATTTTGCAAATTTTTTATCTAATGTCATGAACATATATGAGAACTATTATATATGACAATGAGTACCAGCAGATTTGAGAAAGAGTACAAGCACTTATGAGAATTATCACATTTTTATTCAATACAAACATGAATAAACTTGGGTTTTAAATTATCCATGCTCAGAGAGTATAAATGAGTAGGAACAAATCGAATAGAGGAAGAAGTTGATAATGGTACTGAACTTTTTAATTGTGAAAAAAAATTGAACAATACTTTATTTCAGAATGAACATTTCCTTATTTGAGAATGAGTATTGTTTTTTTAAAGAATGAACACTACACTATTTATTATAATTATATTAGATAAATGTATAAAAATGAGTACTTCTTTATTTTAAAATGAGTACTACCTTTTCCAGAATGAGTACTACGTATTTCGAAATTAATGTTTATATTTGTGCGAGAATGAGTACTACTTTATTTCAGATTAAGTACTACCGGAATGTACCTATTTCTAGGTACATCCGGATGTACGATATACCAACTCTAGAAAAACCCTAGAACTTATTTGAGATTCTGAATTCACGATTCGTTCAGCGCCGTCGAAATAGAACCCAGCCCCCCACCTTCTTCTTTGATCTGCTCCACTGTCTCCTTCCCGACCGGCGACGACCCAACAACATCAGCAACTCAAGGCAGCACCGTTTTCCGGTGACCTCGGTTGAGGCAACTCCCATCAGCTCCGGCGATGCACAGGGACGGCAGTGGCAAACGACCTCCGACGGTGATGATGTCCCCCGGCCTCTTCCCTGTCTCCTCCGGTTTGGGTTGCAGCGGGGACCAGCACGCGGGATGGCAAGTCCCTCCCTGTCTAGTGACAGCCTCTGTGCCGGCGACTACCTGTGTCCCGGCGACTGGTCCATGGTGACGGAACTCCGGCGATTCTCGTGGGCGGCAGCAGCAAATAAGTCTGGTGATACCCCTGTTCCGGAAACCATGGACAGCAAAGGACAAGGCCAAGCAACAGTGGCGATAGGTCCAGATGGTGGTGGGGTGTTGGGGGCAATCTGAACCCTAACGGGTAGCGCCAGTTAAGTCCGGCAATGTCCGGCGATGTTGGGACAGATTTGAGCATAATGAACGGGCTATCGTGGCGTAAGGGCAACGACTTGGATATGGATAATGATGTGGATCTGGGTAGCGAGGTGAATCAACTTTGACGATGAAATTCGAGTGATTTCCCTTTTGAATCGAATAAATTGAGGTAAGTACGTGGTCATCTAACACTAGAATATGTGAAATGTCGGGTTTGGATTTGTTTTTTTTCTTTTTTAGGCATTTTTAATATTTTTAGAATTTAATTTTTAGTTGTTTTGATTAGTTTTATTTTTATTCCAACTTTTATAATCATTTAATTTTCTTTCAAAAATAGTACGTAGAAGCTTTTTAATCATTTTTTTTAATTCTTTTTTTTTTATTTTTCCTAAATCAAAATTATCAGATATCTTATTTTTTTAGAGAAAATTGTAGCAAAAGGCCAAAATGGAATTCAAGTTTTAAAAAAGATATTGAATTTGGGCTGGAGCCCAAACCCAACACTAAAGAATCAGCCCAGCACATCTCTCTCCCCCAATTAGATTTACGCACAAAAGAAAAAAAAGAACGGAGAATTGAAGTCGAAGACTTCTTCTTCTTCGGCGATCGAAGGACCAATTTCTTCACGCTCCAACGTTCTTCCGCAAGTTTCGCAGCAATTAATCACCAACGGAAAGATATCAACGGAACAATTCTTGCTCTGTTGGTTGCTTTCGCCTCTGCTGGTAGCTGCAACCGTACGGTACCTATGTACCAGACGGGCGGTAGGCCCTACCGCCTGGTCAGGAGTCGGCTACCAAGGCAATCCTACCCGAAGGTCTCATTTGATTCGAATGGTACCCCTGGTACTGTAGGACCGGTACCCTGGTACCGTGAGGACGGTACCCTGTACCGAGACATGTACCGTCTGGTACCTATCAGGTCTGTTGATCTGTGTCATTGTCTAGGATTGATTCCGAGACTTCATGTGAGCATGATGGTAATCATGTGCCTTCGGTTCAGATAGGTCGCTATTGATATGTTAGTGAGTAATGAATTGAGACTTGAACTAAATTAATCTTATTGGTGATTATTGAGAATTGTGAATGATAATGGAAATTGGCCACCTAGTATAATTAGGCGGACCTGAATTTGAGGAGATTATTCTTAGAGTTGAGATCTTGGAATTCTAAGCTGATAATTTGAACATCCATTTTGGTGTTTACTGAAAGGTAACCATGCAGGGATAGGCAGCGGAATATAAAATTTTTAACATCCCAACATGATTATCTTGCCCAGAATCACGTACTAAAACATATAGTAGTACGAAATTTGTACCTTTCTCCGTAAGCGGTAAAAACGAAGAAGTCGTAGGAAGAGCGTTGAAAGTGCAAACGTAACCGTTCAAGCGTCCGGTCTCCAACTTTGACACACGAACAACGCCGGAGTCTACCACAATCTTTATGCTAGTAAAGATTATAGTAGTTTAAAATATAAAGATTAAAATTGGGATAATAATAATCTTGTATATTTTATAGAAAATATTTCTAATAATATTTAGAAAATATTATAGATATTTTCTATACACAAAATGATATTATGGAATCAAATAAAAACACTTTCTCTCACTAAAATTGTAATGGCCGAAACTCAAGAACAAATTGATTTCATATTTTGCTATGTGCGTGAGGTGTATATATAAAACAAAAATTAATCAAACTATTTTGTCATTAGCTAAATGACAAAATTAACTTGCCACTTTATTTATCTATCAAAGAAAATTTGATTCTTCACAATATCATCATGGCCGAATGAATGATATGAGAAAGATTTTCAAAATTCTTTTACACTCAAATGTTCAAAGTCTATTTTATTTGACACCAAAAATTAATATAAAATTAATTTTAAATCAAATAAAAATACCAATATCATTTTAAACAAGTATACAAATATACTTTAAATAGTTTATGTTAAAATAATTATTTTCATAATTAAAATGACAAACCAAAATAAAATATTCAACATAATATATATATATATATATATATATATATATATATATATATATATATATATATATATATATAATATTTTATATATATATATATATATAATATTATATTCCAAAATATTTTATTTTACTATTTTTACAAATATACAAATTACTTATTATCCATTGTTTAATCATACTTCTTAAATTGTCCAGAGTGTGTGACCCGTATAGGCACTTATAAAGCTGGCCACAGTATTGGCTCTGCACCAAAACTATAAGCAATAAGCGGTATCTAGCAACACATTATTGCCCCCAGATTATAAGTTAAGATGTTTGCACTGTCAAAACCTTTCCAAAACTCAGATTCCGTGTAACTGTATCCCTTTGTTTCAATGTCTAGACTTAATGAAAGGGATTAATAAAATCCAACTTGTATCCATTAAGTTATTCACTGATTTATCAAGTCTGACTGATAGGAACAGACATCATAAAAACATCTCAGCATGGCCATGCAATTTCCTCAGTCAAAACTTATCAGTGGGCCCCATAAGACATTAATCTCTTAAAAAAGAGCAGTGAAAAATCCTATGTACATAATCTACGTTTCTGAATACGTGCTGCGGCATACCCAGAACAGAGCCTGTATACCATCCTTATTTCATATGGCTTAGGACAATGCATCAAAGCATGCGGGTTCACATATGCAGAAAACGTAATACTTCAAGTCGAAGGATAGTTACACCCGTGGTCGCGCTAAAGATGCTTAGAGCATGAACTAACAGTTCAAGCAACATCTTTAGGATGGGTCAGTCCGGCATCCTATTACCTCCAGATAATATCTGCCCATGTGCGGATGCGAACACGCCGTCATTGACTATGAGACTAAGTCAAACATCCAACACACACTAATCTCACATGCATTAACAATATCCCACTCTCGTTAATACTTGACTATGGACATTTAGATAAATATTTAATTCAAGATCTTAGTCTCATCAGCATAATAACAATATCTGATAAACATTTTTAAATATAAATCTAGGAATATAATATTTGTTTCCATTAGCATGAGATGTGTAAACATATTATATCTTCCTATACATGATAGAAGTGTATTTTATCTTCTTTTACAAAATGTTCCAAGATAGCAAGAAAATGAACCCTATGAGTCTGTACGAGTGCCAGCAGACTGGGTAGGGAGTTGCGCACTCCCCTTATGTTCTAGAACAGAAAATTTATGCGATATCCAAAAGAGAAGGATCTAGAGCAGCTTTTATTCCTCTAGTCTAGACTGAAAGCTTGTAAGTTTTAGCTTTGGCGCTCCCTCCCCTTTATAGTATAAGATCTTCTCTTGAGGCCTTTGGGGTTCCAATATTAAGGTCATCCAGGCCTAAATTGTCCATAACTTCCCGCCGTCTTGGTCTGAGTGCATGCAATTTTTTGTAATGGCCTCCAGATTAGGTTCTGTGTGACCCTAGATGGAGTGGGGGAATTCATCGTTAGCTCTATCCTTACGTAAAAGCTTCAATTCATCCATGTTACCCTTGTGCCAGAGTTTCTTGGGAATGGAGGGACCACCCCCCATTTTTGAGGACTCGGAACTGCCTTTTCAATTATATGAAACCACTTGGCAATCAAGATTTTTTCCTTGGGTGAGCAAGAACCCTCTAGAGGGTGGTGGTTGCTATGCATTTGGACTGATATGCTTGGAAGATTACTGCATGTAGGAGCCTAATGAGTCACATGTGCTGTATTTAAAACCCCTTGGACCAAAGTGCATGTAATTTCCACAAGTTGAACATGATGAGCCTGGCTATTGTCCAGAGTTTGTAGTGTTTTTCTTTGGGTTTTTTCTTTTGTTTGACTACCTTCCAAAGCGACCACACTTTCCATAGAAAAGAGGAATATCTTGAAAGGATAAAAGAAGAGAGTCGACATGATCTCCTGATCTAACCTTCACAGCCTTAGGAAGTTGGCTGGATATATCAATCTCAATAAGAACCCTGGCAGTGTTGAGATATTCAGCGTGGTACGTGCGTTCATCCATCTTCATATGAGTACCAATAATACTATATATGGAGAGGAGTGCTCTAGGGTCTTGAAAGTGAATGGGTATGTTTTTTATAGTAACCCAGATGGGGAGGAAAGGGCTGTCTTTATATTGGAGATAGCATGGCGTCCAACCAATAATCAATTCGACGTTTTAAAACCGAAACCCGAACCCGACCCTTTAAGCCAAAAACCCGAACCCGACCCGAAACCCGACCTTTTAAGCCAAAAACCTGATCCGAACCCGACTTTTAACCAATAATCAATTCGACGTACTCCAATAATTTTGAAAAGATTAAATCTAATTTTTTTGTGTCTCTTTTTTGTCTCATTTTTTATTAAGGGATTATAAAAATGATTATAAAAGGCATACTTGATATAGTAGTACTTTGTCAAGAGATTATACGGAGTGCTCATTATATCCCTAGATAGACTTTTATGTAATAAAATATTCGGGTTTTAGTCGGGTCGGTTGCGGGTTCGGGTCGGGTCGGGTAAAATTATAAATCCACACCCGACCCGACCCGATGTCGGATTCGGGTAAAAAATTTCGGGTCAGGTTCGGATTATTTTATTTTCGGTTCAGGTTCAGATATTTTAGTAGTCGGTCGGGTCGGTTAAGCTCGGGTTCGGGTTGAATTGCCATCCCTACCTGTAGAAATCATCCCCTTCATTGAAGTTAATGAGGACCTGGAAGCGTGTGAGTTAACTAACATTGAATCCTCCAAAGCTGGAACGCCTTAGGCTATACGCAATGTCTTCGTTGGAAACATGTCTTGACAGTCTCCCAATTACTCCAAATCTAAATTTACAGGAAAGGTCACGAATTTCTTCAGCAGAGAATGTAAGCATTGGTCTAGTTCCTTCAATCTTGATTTGTCCGTAAGCCTTGGAGGAGTTTTTGACGACGTTGGAGAAGCGACGATGTTTCGTTGTAGTTTCCCGCCGGTAAAAGTTGCTGGCAAGTGGTTTTCTCTTTTTATCTCTAGACGCCATCATACACACACACACACATATATACATAGATACACACACACACACACACACACAGATATATATATATATATATATATATATATATATATATATATATATATATATATATATATATATATATATATATATATATATATATATATATATATATA